GACGCAGAGCTGCGATGATTCAAATCTGTGTGATTACAACCATTGACGGATAAAGGCAGGCAGAGAAATGATACGATAATTATTTCATGTTGAGATGGAGAGTCGCATACATTTCTCTACTACTTGGGAAATTTGATAACCAAACTCATTTTCAATGGTATGTTCAATGCACTTGGAAATTCTTTTTGTACCCTTCTTCTGACTGACACCTTTGAAAAAGGACATCCCTCTGATACCCCAAAGGCTCTCTTGGGACAATCGCTTATGCAGTAAAAGCTGACTAAAAAAATGTTGAAAAAAGCCAACTAGAACAACTGAACTTTATTTGAGGTTCATCAGAAGTACTTTAAATGGTGACAGATTTGCACCGACTTATATTTAACACAAGTTTGAATATGATTTGTATGTTCTCAACACAGTGTGTTGGAGCCTATCCCAGCTGACTTTGGGCAGTTGGCGAGGTACACCCTGAAATGGTTGCCACCCAATCGCAATTTTGAGTGTTCAGTTAACCTACCATGCATGTTTTTTGAATGTGGGAGGAAACCGGAGTACCCGTACAAAACCCACGCAAGCACGGGGAGTACAATTGAAAACTCCACACACGAATGCCAGAACCCGGAATTGAAAACTGGGCCTACACATGCCAACCTGTTGACCATGGTGCCGCCCAATACAGTAATATATTGTATTTAGTAATGTTTATGAATTAAGGGTTAGGTTCATGTTTAGGGTTGGGTGGATTTTTTTCCTGAAACGTCATATGTGTGAATTACAACGCATTGTGAAATTCGGATTGCACAAAATTTTATAGGTCAAACTTATCGTGGAATTGAAGCAAAATAAAAATAAAAATCTTTCCAATAATATGTTCTATTCGCTGCCACAAGTCTAAACAATGGGCATCAAAAATACGTTTATGGACACATAAAGCCACTTCTGATTAAAATTTGATGTTCACCAGTGTAATTGTTTTTCACTTCCCTTCAAAAACATATATATATACACACACACACACACACACACACACACACACACACACACACACACACACACACACACAAGTACTGTTATAGCTCACAGTGATAAAAAAAGGAAACGATTAATCTTTGTCTAGACAGAGTGTGTGTGTGTGTGTGTGTGTGTGTGTGTGTGTGTGTGTTTATATATACAGGTATATAATAATGTGTGTGTGTGTGTGTATATATATATATATATATA